AACTCTTTGTGTGATCCACAAATTGTTGTTTCGGGTCTGTGTGTCATGTGTATGTGAACTTGTATGTTTGTAAACGCACCCACGATACAGGAGAAAATCCTAGTGTAGGCCAACGTTTTTTTTTATTGTGACATTTATATTCCTTATCATGGCATATAATATAATAATTATGCTCGTTGACTGCCTCGTTGATCGAGTGGTCGTAAGTGGTAAGGGGTCTCGGGTTCGATTCCCGGGTCGGGCTTTGGGGAGACCCTGACTGGATTTTTTAAATATTCTGAGTAGTAGCACGGAGTCTGGAATTGTGCCCGGTATATGGCAATAGGTTCACCCCCTATTACATGGGACTCATAACATAAATAGTGAAAAGTGGGTGTTACATTGTACAGTGGTATAATGTGCACCTCTGCCTACCCCTTCGGGGATAAAAGGCGTGATGTTATGTTATGTTATAATATTTGAATCAATGTAATACCAAGTATTTTTAGAACGTCAGTAAAGTTATGTAAAATTTTAACTTAATCTGTCTTTGAAGGTCAAAGTCTATACTCCGTCTGTCTATGCGTCAATGAAGCACTAGTGCGAACTAAGAAGTGAACTAGCAAACGCTTATATGACGTAATGCCTAATATTAAACTGGTTTAGTGGTTGTGTAGATTCCCCGCGAGGACATTGACATCACCATCAACAGCTTATAAATGCCCACTGCTGAGCAAAGCCTCTTCTCACATGGAGAAGGTTAGAGGATTAATCACCACGCTTGCTCAATGCGGGTTAGCGATTTCAAACTTATAATTAGAAATTATAAGCCCAGGTTTCCTCATGATGTTTCCCTTCACCGTTGGTCAGTGTTGTTTAAATAAACTTCGAGAGTACATATAACTCGGAAAAAGTCACATTGGTACTTGCCGTTGGTAGGTTCCGAACCCGCACTCTCGTGCATGAAAAGCAGGCGTCCTCAACCTCCGGGCCACCACGACTATACAATGACAATGACATTTTAATCTTGAACCAGGCAAAGTTTATTTTGATTCTTCGTAACTCTTTGAGTTACATATATCTGACTGTCACTGATAGACTGTCTCGTTGGTCAAGGAGGGGTCGTTAGTGCAACTGCTGAGCAAGAGGTTTCGGTTGGATTCCCGAGTCGTATTGTTGGTGATTTTCGAAAAAATCTGACTACCAGCATAGAGTTGGGAATTGTGCCCGGTATATGGAAATAGGCTCACACCAGGATCTCATAACATAAGTAGGTGTTCATTATATATCCGGCATATAACATGTTTTCCTACGCCGTTTGTCAGTGGTGTCTAAATAATCTTAGAAAGTACATATAACTCGGAAAAAGTCACATTGGTACTTTGGTTAGGTTTAGAACCCGAGCCTTCATGCATGAGAAGCGAGCACCTTAAGCCTCCGGGCCACCACGACATTTTTTATAAAAGATATGTAACTATTTGTGTATTTCTTGTATTTAATTTATGCATCACTAGCGGCCCGTCCCGGCTTCGCACGGGGGGACTTAAGATTTTTTACATAGTTTTACGTTTTATTTATATTTATTCTCAGTTTTTTTTTAGCGACCTGCCCTCCGTTGTCGATGTCGCGTCTTAAGGTAACCGATTGAACAATTCAAAAGTTATCTAGAGCAAACTTTTATAAGGATTGAACCATTCATTAAAACGATTGTTATGGGTAAACTATAAAAGGTAGACATATGCTCTCGCGGACTTTTT